ACAACAAGGCCATCGCCACTTCCTGCAGATCCCTCCAGCAGCCTCAGGTCCCCTCTCCTTCGATGGACCTGGACGGCGCCATACAGATCCTTGAGGCCTCAGCCAACACAACCACGCCAACTGCGATTCAGGCCCTGGACAAACTGATCCGCTTCATCTCCTGGCAGCGCGTCCTCGTCAGTCGCTTGCAGGTGGCCCAGAGCATGCTCAGCACACAAGGCCGCACTGCGTATGAGGAACTACGGCCCACTCTCGACAAACTCTACGCACCCCAGGTAATGATGGGTGCACAGAGGGAGGAAGGGAGAGTGGGATGGAGGGTGGGGCCGCGGGCTGAGAATGGGGTGGGTGTGTTCCTCAACACCCGTGTGTGTGTGGATGTGTGTGCTCAGTTCTGCAAGAAGTCAGTTGGCGGAGTTGCCGTGCCATCCAACAATCGGCTACGGGCGGCAGGTGCATGACACACGGAGTGCGCTTTCGGACTCCTTCTGTTATTGCAACTTACGTTTGCAGTGGCCTTCGCCGCAGAGGCCATCATCTGTCATGTCCGCAGATGTCCTCTGAGAGTGGACCCCAACCTCACCACTACCACAGAGGTTGGCGATCCAACTGCACACCGCAGTTGAAGCCTAACAAGCCTGCACCCCACCTGTTTTTGTGCGCTCAGATCATTGGTGTTCTCAACTCGTCAACTTCCTCAGCGGCCCGTGACGCCATGGGCGTGCTGGAGCAACACTTCCCCGGCTACGTGGACACGGCGACCGAGCAGGCCGTTCGCCTCCTCGAGGCGCGTCACATCATCACCCGCCTTACCTCCCAGCTGTTTGAGGTGCTCGCTGTTCCAGCTCCCGAGTGTCTATTCAGCGAGCGGGTCTTAGTGGAGAATGGATGTGTGAAGTGACGAGGCGGATTGGCTTGGTGGTGAAGATCTTCGCTGTGGTTGAGTGAGAGTGACCGACGATGAAGATATCAGTCGCTGTGAGCGTCCGTAAACATACACCGATAATAGAAAGGACTGTCCGATGCTCAACCAAGCATGAAACGGGGAAACGAAGCAACGCACAAAGGTCAACCAGTCGGAATAAGGAAGGCGCAAGCGCAAGAAAAAGACCGAGAGACCGTTGCCGCTGGGCTGTCTTCAACGGTCTCTCCTG